ATCGCGCCGGCCGTGCCCAGCAGCCCCAGCTGGGGGCCCTGCCGTGTCCCCGTCCCCGTGATGGGGCCGTGGAGGACCGCGCTCAGTGGCCCTGCGCTGTGCATCCCGCCGGAGCATCCCTGGGGATGCAGCCACTGGCCACGGCGTCCCCACAGGGACAGGGGACAGGGGACAGGGACCCCTCGGGGCTTCGCAGTTTTAATCAAGCCTCCGGGCGCTGAATCCTGCCGGAGACGTCCCTGTCGATGTCCTGACAGGGGGAAGATTTAATAAGGCCCATTTACGTTGCCATTGATAGAAGCTATTAGTGAAACGGCCACGGAGCGATGGTTAATAAAATATTTACTGTCATCCCTCTGGGGGCAGCTTCGCAGACCCCATTCGAGGTGCCAAAAAGTTTGCCAGGCCCCGGCATGGCTCTGGCATCTCCGGCACCTCCACCATGGGGCCGGCAGCCCTGGGAAACCGCCTCCCCTCCGCCTGCCCGCTGCGTATTTTTCTCCCCGACCGAGTATTAAAAAGAAATCGGAGCCCATTTTCCTGCAATAAATTTGGCAGAATGGAGAGAAAATGATCTGGCTCTGGAGGGGAGCCAGCGGCCCTGGATGCACACGGGGGAGCAGCTGGGTGCTGGAGCCCGGCCACGCAGCCTCTGCTCCCGTGGGTGGCCGGCAAGCGGCTTCCCTGGCTCCGTGTGCCCCACGGGGAACGGGGAAAGGGCCCCGAAGCCCTGCTGGCCCCCACGGATGGGGGGACACTGGTGGCGGCAGCCCCTTCCTGCGTGTTCCTGTGCCGGGAGGGACGCGGGCATGGTGGCGGTGGTTGCGATGGGGGTACCGATGCCAGTTGTTTTAGCTGGGATGGGCTGCAGCAGGGCTCGGGCGCTCAGAGGCCCGAAATGCGGGGAGCTGCCCCCGCCGGGGGTACAGCCCTACTGCAGGGCTGGGGAGAGGCTGCGGGGACCCCCAGCTCCCTGCTGCAAGGAGCCCTGCAGCAACCTGCCCCGGCCTGGCCCTCCAACCGCAATGGCGCTGCCGGTGCCGACAGCACCGTGGGCCCCGCACGGCGATTTTGGGGCCTGGTGTGCAATGGGGGTCTTGGTGCTGGGGGTCCGCGCTGGCTGCAGCGGGGCTGTTTGTGCAATGCAGCCCGTCGTGCAACGCAGCCCGTCGTGCAACGCAGCCTGTCGTGCAATGCAGCCCATCGTGCAATGCAGCCTGTCGTACAACGGGGCCGTTGGTGCAACGGGGCCGTTGGTGCCGGGGGTCCGTGCTGGCTGCAGCGGGGCTGTTTCTGCAGCGGGGGCTGC